ACTATATTAACTTCTATATATATATATATATCTTTGTTTTGATACATCAATTTATTGCATAGCATCACATATATATATAGCTGTGACATAAAAATAAGTGAACTTGCCTAGATTTGGGAACCTTCCAAAAACAGGACAAATTTATTTTTGTCATGGTGTAAATCATCAAATTTCAAAACATACAAATCAGCTCCAAAAATCAGTATAGTATTCAAAGATAAGGGCATTAGTCTCATAAACATTTTTTAAAAGATGATTTTGAAACATGCTTCATATTAGAACTGATATTTGGTATTTATCATTTGTCAGTATAAGTGAACTAGTAATTACTTAAGTCCAATACTTAAAATATATTAATAACAAAACCCAGATACTGAGAAATGCCCAATTAAATAGAAACAAATTGGCCTTCACATCTGTTTCACCTTAGTTGTCTTATTGAGATGTTTTTGCTGAAACTCCATGTTTGGTTCAAGCTTTTTATCTAGAAAAATTCTGTTCCCGGTGGCAGTTGTATTCTTCATGACAACATTGAATGCAGTATTGGGAAATAGAAAAAAAACTGAAGCACCTGATCTCTGAAGTAGCAATTTAATGAGATGAGACAAAGACACAGAAATATATCAGAGGAATCCAGTTCCTATTCATGCCAAGGGGGAAGTGTAGAGGTTTTCAGAATAAAAGATTTAGAATGCAGAAGTGAGGGCCGGGTACTGACCTGTGCTGCTTTGGTCAGTGCTGTGCTGATACACAGCCATGGAGATTCCCCAGAATGGTATTCTGCTGTTACTCCACTCTTGTGCAGCTTTCTTGAGCTCAGAAGGCCACTGGCAGCAGCAGTGGTATAGGAATGTCTTAACTATAATAACCTGATTTCTGGATCACAGATGCTGTGGAGATAAGAGAAGGGATGAGGCTCAATCCCTGTTTTAAAGGAATAAGTAGATATTTTAGTGAGAAAATGATTCAGGAATGTCTACCAGATTTCTGACTGTATTTTAGGGGGGAAGTGTGAACAAGTAATAGGGAAAGTTAAAAAGGATAATGATTATTGACCACATGTCCATCATACCCATTTATTACCTAAAAAAGCTGTGGTTTGCCTCATTTCAGATCTTCATCAAAAAATACTGCTGATACTTGTCACACTTTAACCTTATAACTATTTTATGAATTCCTTGAAGGTTGGTATAGTAGCATCATGATAGCATAGTGGTTAGTTACAGTTGTGGGCTGTAGAATCAGACCACCTGGACTTTTAGCTGTTCCTAATACTGAGTATGTGACTGTTACGTTTTGAATGTGATGTTCCCCCAAAGGTCCATGTGTTAAAGACGTGGTCCCCAGCCCATGGAGCTGGTGGAAGATGCTGGAGTGTAGTGGGAGCAAGGTCACTGAGGAGTATGCCCTTGAAGGGATGTTGGAACACCATCACCTTGTTCTTCTTTTTGCTCTCCAGCCACCGTGAGTTGAACAGCTTTTCCTGCCACATGATTCCCTGTGTACAGGCCCACAGCAACAGGGCCAAGTGACCCTAGTCTGAAACCATGAGCCAAAATAAACCTTTTCTCCTTTTAAGGTGATTGTCTTAGGTATTTTGTTACAGGAATGGAAAGCTAGCTAACACACTGACCTTCGCCAGGTTATTTAATCTCTCTGTCCCATTTTCACACCTGTAAAATGAGAATAGAGTAACCTTAGTGCTACTTTATAAGGTGGTTGTGAGGTTTAAATGGAATATGCAGAGGGCTCACAAACATAGTGATAATTAAATATTAGCTGTGTAGGCTGGGGTATAACTCAGTAGACCATTTGCCCAGCATGTACAAGGCCCCGGATTCAATCCCAACACTGCCAAAGAAAAAAGCTTTTGCTGTTTCTTATCAATTCCCTGGCCTGCTAAGCAGTTTCCTCTTCTCAAGGATACAAATCTCTTAAAAAGTATGTGAAGTCTTTATAAAGTCTTACATCACTCTGAGTCATGTAGTAGCTCTTGGAAGTGGCATAACCAGCTTGTTCCCAGTCATATGTTGTGTACTTCAGTTTAATCCGGAAGGCTTCTTGATTATATAGTAAAACACTGCCAGGATGCTGTGACCAGTGCTTCCAATAAAGTACTTGCATCCACCCTGCCCCCAGTCCTGCACCAAGCCTTGCAAGTGATAGACTTCTTTTTTCAAGAAGAGGGAAATACATTGTCAAAGCTGAAACAAGAAAGGGAAGGACTGGTGGATCTGAAACTAAGTTCTTTTCAAAATAAAAACAAAAGAGACCAAATTGGAGAGAAGCTGCATCCAGAATGCTTATAGCAAGCATGGGAGAACAAAACCATAAAAGGCAGAAGCCGTGCTAAGGAT